CCTTCTTTTGCCTTGTATATTCTGATGCTGCTTTGACCCTTTTTCTTTGCATTAGAACAAGTTGTGTGATTTGTGGATTGTCAGTTCATAAAAATAGATGTCCAGAGAATACCTACATTTTCTTGAAATCAATTTGCAGTGTTATCATCTCATCGAATGGGTGGGAAATGATGAAATATCGCTGGAACGTACACTATGCGAGGGGAGGAAACTTGTCTGTCCATTATCTTCTCCTTAATTTTTACGTGTTGATCATGTCCTTTCCAAAAGATATGTTGATCTTAATCCCTGGCACCAGGCTTTTATGTCCAATTTGTTTTACAAAGCAGGTTTCGTGGTCTCTCTGTTTTTTTGTTTTCTGCCCAGCTGAGTCTTCTGTGAAAATCTGTCTAAACTTTAATAGTCACTCTGGCTCCTTCACCTATTGCCTTTGATTAAATCTTTGGAGAAAGGAAGGGAAAGAACATTCTTTCAATGTATTTTACCAACAGGCTGCCATTCCCCTTCTTATTACTCCTGGTAAAAAGCATGTCTGTATCTGGTGCTTCTGCTGGAGGGCGATTGCTCCAGGGCAAATCCAGCAAAATTACAGCAAATAGATAGTTGGGCAGCCCAAGTTACAAAAGGAGAATTGACTTCAATACGTGTAGTTCATACCTTGCTGTGTCATACCCTGCTCCATCAAGTTGGGAGATTTAAAGATCTGTGAGAAACACCTGTCAAGAATTTTATCATCTCTTAGAATAACATTTATTCAACCAGTTAAGCTTAGCAAGTTCAAGTTCAGAAAACAGTGAGAGGAAACTTTTATAGCATGGTGGCTTGGTAATGTGACTCTCCCTTACCAAGATGGCATTAGAGGGTTTGCTTCACTTCTAACTCTTCTTTCACTGGGTCAAGTTGCTGCTGCCACTTGGACTATGGAGCCAAACCCTGCCTACTTCTTTAATAACTGAAATTCCATATGCACACTAGCCTGGTGTGGTTATGGGGACATTTTGCCAGTTCTCACTTTGAAAGAAGAGGATCTGTGAACAGAACAAAGCTTTGGGCATTAAAAGGGTTTAATTCATAATATCTGGTGATGCCATAAAAGGTTAATGATTGTCATCTTAAACGGTTCAACCTGAACTTAAAAATGATAAATTTCATCTTGTGTTTCAATGCTGCCTAGATCTCAGCCTCTGAAAATAAAAAAAACAAAACAAAACAAAACAAAACAAAACAAAACTTGAGATGATTTTATAGTTAAGAGTTCTGTGATCAATTGTTGGTGACAAATGACATGAGTCTGGGATAGGTTGTGATAACACATTTTCTGTCTCTGACTGGTGTTTTGAAGACCCGATTAGAAACCGAGGGACCTGAAAAGTGCTCTCACAGAAAGATGAGCACAGTTCTCTGAAGAGGGCCACAGGGAATCTGGATGTCTGGAGCAGAGATGTTGCTTGAAACATACTGCGAGGGTTTCGCGGTTTCCAAAGACTAAAGTTTGGAGAGCTTCACAGAAGGATAAATTTTTCTGAGACTCATCCTGTCGCATGGGTTAGTTCTTTTAGCTTTAAAATCTGTTAAATTTTGCTTTACACTTCTATTCATTTCATCTCTAGGGACCCCAACCTGCAACAACTTCCAAACACCTGAAAAATCTTTGGTCTCTCTTAGAACTGCCTCTGTCAACATCACTATGATTCTGTGATTGTCCTTAATTGTTTTCTACTATCGCTTCAAATAAGACTCAGAACATTCATATGTTGGTGAGCATTGATTTGGGTGGTGGAGCTGCTTGGTAATGTTTTGTTAAAAAAAAAAATCAGGGGCGTCCAGTTAGCTCAGTTGGTTAGAGCACAGGGCTCATAACACCAAGGTTGTTGGTTCGATTCCCACATGGGCCACTGAGATGTGCCTTCCAAAACTAGAATGAAATAACTACCTGACTTGGAGCTGGTGGGTACTGGAAAAACACACTGTTCTCCCCGCAACCAAAAAAAAAAAAAAAGTCAGACCTAGAGACTTAATAATTATTACCTGAAAGTTTTCATCAGGTGCAGGGGTTGTCATACCTATTTCAATATTTTAAGCCTGCTGCAACTTATTTCAGCTGAGTGTTTGCAGAAGAGTTACTTATGGCTCTGCTAGCTGGTGCTTCCTTTTATAAAAGCTCTAGAAAAGGAGGGCTATTATCTTTGGGAGATGTTGCTCTCATTTTAACTGAAACTTGGTAAGTTCTCCGGCTAAAATGAAGTCAGGCTCTTTTCTCAATGGGCATTTCTAACTCAGGCCAGGTCCATGAGGACCGAATTTCCAGGAAAAAAAAATCCTATTATTTACTGGAAAAAGGGCAACTGTATAGGTGAGAACCCATGGGATAATGTATTTCAAAGCCAAATCTAGCTATCTTCTTCATCCCCTTCTTGTTCCCTGAGGGGGAAAAGAAAACAATTAGGCAAGACTTTTTTTTTCTTCTTTTAATTTTGTTCAGCATTAAAGGAGGGAACTTCATAAACAGTGATTGTCATTTACAGAAAACATTCAGAAATCATGTGTGCATTATCAGGGAATGCTAACAGTATTCAACTAATAATTTACAGACATAAAATAAGGACAAAAATCTATTACATTCTAAAGTAATATAAAACTCTGTTTTTAATTGTTAGGGAGTGCTGTTTTATTCTAGTATATTTATAATTAAAAAAGAAAACTCAATGCTTACTTCCTAAATGACTCAGGCTGCAGTTTTACTCATGTACACAGAAATTAGGGTTTATATATTAAACAAGGAGAGAGAGATCAGAAAATTGTAGATTTTAAAAACCATAGATGTCCTGGGTTTATTTGTAGTTTGCCTTTTGCCTCTACAGGGCAATCATAATATGTGGTAATAATGTAATTAAGCTCCAGAAAAATCAATGGTGACTATAGAAGGCATTATTATCTTTTAAAAAGTATAATTATTATGCTTTTTAGAGTGAATACTTTTATTTTACATACTTTTGGCAATGCAACTTTGGTGCGTTGCCAACAACGATGTGCATGCTAGTAGGAGATGCCAACTGCACACTCACACGTGGCCCCTCAGGGTGCAGTCATGGTTGGTGGGTACAGCCAGCCAAGCCCCAGACAGCCCGTGGTCTCAACCGCTGGAGGACTTAGCACAGCTCTTCACTTTACACTTGTAGGTTGGAGCTAAGGTAAAAACATTAAAACTCTGAAAGTTGGAAGTTTATGAAAATCATTTCTCTCAATCCTAAAAGCAAGGAAGTATTGTCAGGGATTTCAAAAATACTGGAAAGTCTCATTTAAATCTAAATATCTTTATTATTATTATTATTATTATAAATTGATCATCATAAAATATTAGCCTTTTAAAGTCATATTTGGGATGCAGGAAAAGCATCAGTTTCATCAGACTTGCTCCTGCCTGTGTTGTTACAGCTCATGACACCTTCGATTTTCCTTCCTCTCAGTCTATCTTCCCGACCCTCCCTCAGGTTCTTTACAGCATTTATTTGGTGAAGGTCAGTTATGGCTTCAGCAAATGGGTAGTCTGACCTCAGGTTATTAAGAAGAAATAAACGTGTACAAAAATATTTTGTTCATCAGAAAGCAGAGTTTGTTTTCCTTAAGCTATTTCATGCAGAGAGGATTTTAGACAAAGCCATTGCTACAGGGAAAGATGACTTACTCAGGCAACATTTCTCTCTCTCTCTCTCTTTTTCTTTAACTTTCCTTTTTCGTATTGTCTAGTTCAGGTAAAGTTTGCAGGTCTTAGGCCAATCTTCAAGACAAATTCTTTGGAGCAGATTTAATTGACAGCCCTGTCCCTTTCTCAGCTGTATTACACAAAAAAGCGTACACTCAACACCAATGACCCGTCAAGATGCTTAAACTGTTACAACCAGTTTCTGAGAAGTACATAACACGCAGAAAGGAAGCAAGTACATATTTGCTCTTTGTTGGTTTTTCCCCCATCTAAAAAAATTGTTACAAAGTCTTATGCTTAAACAGAGACATAGAAAAATCAGTGTATTCACTGTCTCCGGTTATTTACAACAAAAATTACAGAGACAGCATACATCGTATTAGACCTTCCACAAGCATATATTAAAAGTAATTACATTTGAAAAAATATTTTTATTTTTCCTCTACATTTCTACAATACATACTCGGTTTTCTGTGGGTGTGGTTTTCATTCGTGTGTGTGTGTGTGTGTGTGTGTGTGCGCGCGCGCGCGCGCGCTAATCAGATGAAGCAGACAGTACTGTGCTTGGATGTGGGATCTGTAGCTTTTCAGACATACCTAGTGTGTCCACATGTGGCTGTGACAGAGGCATGTGAATGCTCTCCATCAGCCACTGCCCGAGGGTGGGGGTGGGTTTAATGTAAGGATCATGCTGCCCAGGCGGGTGCAGGTACCCTGCACATCCCTCAATTGGGTTTATTCAATTCTGGTAACCTTGTGCTTTATTTCTGGCCATGAGAACAATCACTGATCTGCCTTTTCTGATCCACCGGAGGTCATGCAGGAGCCTAAGATCACTATGGCCAATTCACTTTGGAGGACATTCAGCAGCTTAGGAAAAAAGTGCACAAACAGACAACCCCCACCTGCTGCATAGGAACCCATGGTCCCACACTTCAGGTCAATGGAGGGCGACATTATCATGACTCTAGAATAAATTCTTTAGCTACAACCAAGGGAAAATAAAAACGGGTGGCAGATACTGAAGCCACACACTGAAAGAAACACGTTAAGACTCAAAAGCATAAAAATCGTGCATTTGTCTTTCGGAAAAATGTGGCTAGAAATCTAGCCACCTGGCTCTATGAAGCTGGGAGTTTGCGCAAGACAAATAGAAGTGTCTTTTATAAGTCGTCAATAAATTGAATTGTTTTCAGTTTTAGACTGTTCGCTATTGTTTCAACTGTGTTCTCTAGTAGTGACAGTCAAATATGGAGGCCAAATTGAATGTCAGAAGGGCAAGATTTCCACTCCCCCACTCTAATATCATGCAGGCTTGTATCTCCAGCCAAACAGGCCCCTAATTCGACTTTGCTTAAACCGGAGGTTGCAAATTATGAGCCGTCTGCTGTTCAGAGATGTATTTGTTTGGGTTGCACTAAGCTCTGAACCAACTGACATCATTTACAACTCAAGAGATTTTATGAGATTCAGAAGCTTTAGCCACCCTTCAGCTTTAGCCGACTATTGGATGGCCCTTTTCAGATGGGGCATTTCCTTGCCAGCTCTCCACTTGGACTGCTTCACTCATTTGCATTAACTCCCTGGCCCTGTTCTCAGCTTTTTGAATTTTAACCCTTGCTTTAAATGAACATGTACCTCTGGTCCTGAGAGCCCCTGGTCTGTCCTCCATCCTAAAATGTTTGTGAACTCCTATCTAAAGATCCCCATATTTGGTTGCAGCTTTCACTAGCAGTTAGAGATAGAAAATCAAATACCACTTCATCTAAAGCAGATGGTGGGCTTTTTCTTCTTCTTTATACAGGGGACTTTGTGCAAAGTTTCACTAAAGATGCACACTTTAAAGTTATTGCTGTTCTATTGAATGGTGGCTCTGTCAGGGCACAGACATCCTTGCCTGAATTTACTGTCAATTGTACTAACTTCCTTGGAAACAAAAGTTTATAGAGAAAAAAGATTCAGGAAAAAAATTATTTCTTCCAAGTTCCAATAGCCATAGAACTTTTCTTGCTTCTATAATAAATGAAAACAAAGAACATGGAACAAAACTGACATCATTTGCCTCTGACGTTTTTGAAAAACAAAAAAACAAAACAAAAAAACTGGTTGAATTTTAGGTTGTCCTTGGGACACAAGGATTGTTTTTGCATTCAAGCCTGGTACACATAGGAGTGTAGAGTGAGCGTGTATTGACTATCCATGTGCATGATTTTCTACAAACAGTTTAGCTTGACTGCTGTGAAGTTATGTGCTGAACAAGGCAACTATGATAGAAAATGTACTGATGCCTCCTTGGCACCTCTTGTTAATATTCAGAGTTCACTATGATTTCAGGTTTTTTAGATTCAGTCAAAGAAGTCTAATTACCTAAGAGACCATTATATTCTCTGTTTTCACCAACCAGTGATCTTTTAGTCCGGAGCCCTGAAGATAGTATTAAAACAGGGAAATCCAGAAAGGGTATATTTGTAGAGTACATCTCCACCCTCGCTTGGAGCTTTTGGGGATAAAAGCGTTGCAGAAAAAGGGACACAAAGATGACCCGAATCATGGACAGTAGGGGTCTATGTGAGATGTTAAGTTGGATTTGGAATCCCTTTTTCTGCTATATTCCCTCTAAAATTTGCCTTTCCTTTTACAGAGCACAGGTACAGTTTCACCTCCCTTGTCAGGTTCATCTAATGCCACTGACATTTCTGTATTTCCCTTGCTCGGGGCTTGTGAAGGAAGTTTGGGTTCACAGGGAGATACATATTCCTATAAATGGAGCAGCTGGATTATTTGGCTCTTAGCAGATTTTAGAAAATGAGACTTAGTTGTCCTTACTTGTGAACAACTTGTCAGCAAGCCTAAAAAGTAAAAGTAAATTCAGTTTACAACATGAAGTTACTGCGCATTGGTCTGAAAGCCTTGTCAGAGAGGTACTCTCATTGGCTATTTAATTTATGCCATTTACATTTTGTTGTCATTTTCCTGTTTTTTTGTTTTTTTCTCCTTCTTGATGTACCTTTTTTTTTTCTTCAGTAAAACATCCCTGAGTGGGTACAGTGCAACATCTGCGTCAAGCAGTGATTGTCATTTACGAAGCATGAAATGTACAGATCATGGGTTCTTTCTTCCAGTGCACACTTTATCATGAATGTGTTATGAACATTTATGAGTGTTCATGTGGAAGGGACAAAGATTGCATGTGGCAAAGAAAGTCGTTAGTACCAAAATTTCAAAATACCTTGAGATGCAGTCACAGATGTTCAAAGGGCAGCTTTTAAAGGTGCTTCATTACCATTGAAAATATGACTTGGCTCTCTTTTGAAGGGACAGATTTGGCAACTGTGGTGAAAAATGGAAATCTCTTTTCTCAACTGAAGTGAGCTGAACATGTACTGGTTTCCCTGTTTTGTTTTGGTTCAGTCGCTAGTTGTTTCCTGTTCCCTTGCTTTAAAAGGTTCATGCCATCCCAATTAAGTTGCTTGCACTAGTGGAAATGACACAAATTCAAATCCAGTACCTCCTGAGGCAAATGCGGGGAACAATCTTTTTTCCTACATCACCCATGGGACAAGGGAGGAAAAAATTCTCAGCCACTTCATCAATTGAGCCAATTTAAATCCTCTAAGGTAAATTGGAGGAAACAAATGATTCCCTTTGCAACTGAGCAGGAATTACAGGCTGACGATGAAAAACACTAGGCCAACAGAACAATGAAAACAAAGTTTGACATAAGTTCAAAGCTCAAAGGGAAACACCAAGTAGACACATTAAACATCGCCTATCACAAGCCAATCATAAAACATACATTGCATTTGGAAACGGCTAAGTTTAATTGAGTGCCTTCCATTACCCTGTTTTCCTAGCAATCAGTAAAGTAATCTTTCCATTAGAAGGAAATATGACTCTTGGAATTAATTCTTTATACAAAGAGCTAGCAGGAGTGACATTTACACCAAAAAGAATTGAGTCCCTGTAGCAGCATAATAAGCAGTCTACAGCTGTCTTCTTAGACACTGAAGGTAATTTGGTTCAATGTAGTTAAATTAATTGAATATAACAGTAGTTGAGAAAGAGATTCATTATTTTAAAGCCTTTTTGGTTTTCCCTATTGGTTTGGAATGAATCAATCATGAGATGGGATAATGCTCTGTTTTCTAAAAGAAAAGACTAACACAACTGTTTTATCATCAATGAGGAGTTCTGTGGCATTGTGGAGATAGATGGCTCTCAACTATGTAACTTCAGGAGAGCATAAGAGATTACAGAAAGATCAAAGCTTCCGCTGATGGAAACTTTACAAGCAGATGTGCGTGTGTGTGTGTGTGTGTGTGTGTGTGTGTGTGTGTGTGTGTGTTTGACAAAGAGAAAAGGACAGGACCTCATGAGTTGGTGGCTGGGCTACACTTACAGGAGACCATAATTTTCATTGTCATATACAAAGCTCTCCTCTGCCTTCTTTTTATAAAATGTTATTTTGGATCAGATAAGACCAAAGGTGTAAGGTTTCCAGAGCACAGGCAGAACAAGTTCCTTGGGATTTATGCTTTTCTGGTGATCACTTTGATTGAAGAGCAGGTGGAGAAGTGGCAACTTGTACTAGAAAGTCTAAATTCTCTAATCCTGATTTCACCTCTTGCATTCTGTACTTTTAAAAGTTGCTAAAAAATAATCTTAGGCTTAGATGGATAATGCGATTTCAAACTGCATAGGAAATAGTTTTGGCTTTGGGGTATATTAGTTCTATAGAATAACTCAGATCATTTTTTCTAATCTGTCAAGTTTTTGCTATATTTTTATAATATAGCATTTTGGAGTTTAAAAAAATTAGAGGCTCCAGACTAGAAGGACATATAAAGTCCAGCCTCCTCCTTTATTGCTGCTTTTTCTAACAAACTTATTAGAGAATGAATATAAAGAACTACTACTTTACTTTGTTTATTCCTTCTACCTTACCTCTTCTTTGCCCAAAAAAATATGGTTAGAGGGGAAATGTTTACATGAAATGGCATTAAGACACTGGGTTCTGATTTACTCTTTTACTCTAATTTTATTAAAAAAAATTGCTGGTGGTTGTAATCTACAGACTGTGTTTCCCTGTTGAAGACACAATAAGCACCAAAAGCAAGTTTCTTTCACAACCTGAAATCCAAAGCAAAAGTGTTTGATGTGTCCCGGTGAAAAACAGGAAATATCTATTGTTTGGTCAAAAAAGTTCTGGACTCCACAATATTATTATCTGTGGCCTAATTCTTAAAACAGGAAAATGGCTCTAAATATTTATATTTTTTCTCCAGTCTGTACCATCTTGACAAGGCTTTGATGTCATTGATTAAAAAAAAAAAAGAGTTTTTATACAGAGGCCATGCATTATAATTATTCCTTTGTAGACTTATTTCTGAATTGGTACCATCCCGCCATTGACTACAGATGAAAACTCTGGCTGGGAAAACAAAATCCCGATTGTCTAATGTAAAAGTAACATATAACATATAATCAAGAGAGCCTGACTGAACCTCCTTTGCTAGTAGGTATGATATTTTAAGCCACAGTGCCTGTGCATGTATAAGTAATTGTCATATATAATATTCTCAGATATTATATACTTATTATATACATGCACAGTACTTTCCAAGACAGCTACAAATTTACACATGCATCAACTACCTAAAAACATAGAAATAGGTAAGCCTATTAAGTGGAATTTTCTTAAATTATATTTGAACAATCAACAGGAAAAGTAATCATGTAAAGTACCGCTCTGTTCTCGTATATATCTACAATAAAATTCTATAAACAGTTGTCTCCCAAAACATACCCGAATAAAATTAAAAAAAAAAAAAGATAACACCCAGTGTCCTATATTTGTATATTTATGGTCGTTTCCAAAACAAACAAACAAATAAAAGAGCCCCACTCAGGTGCATATTTACATTCTTCAAACTGTAGCGGTGAAAAATAATTCTATTAAGTGCAGGACATTCCTAATGTTGCAGTAGTGACATTTTCCTTAAGTCTTCATGAACACATTGCTTTTGTCTTAATGGTGATGCATTCCATGACTATGAGACAGTTCTGTCGTCGCCTTCATTTGCAGACGGTGGCACAGTCAGGATTAAAGAGCTCCTTGTATAACGGAGGAAAGAGTGTATTCACTATGTCTGGATGCGATTGCTTAAATACCTGCAGCTTCTCCCCGTGCAAGTTGCAAACCGCTGTGATGGTTGGTATCTTGGCTATTAACTGCAGAATGGAGGGACAGGGAAGGAGACAAAGGAGGAAGCTCATTAGTGCTCTGTCTTCTGAATCAGTGTCTTTCCTGGCCCCAGATGAAGGGAAATGGCTTTGGAAAAAAATGTTCAGAAAGAAAGAAGGCTCACTTTCAGCTTTTCTTTTAGAACAAAACAAAACAAACCAAACAAAACAAAATGCTCACCCTCCACCCCCCACCCCTGCCATCCCCTAAAGGGAAAATAAAGAGAAAGAAAGCCAGACCAAGCCTCCTGATTCATTGTTCTTAAATAAAGTATGTAGGGGAGGCAGTCTAGTTTAATGGTTAGGAGTGGGTGCTCGGCAGGCAGGCTGACTGAGGTGGAATTCTGATTCCAAAATGGCTCAATGGCTGTGTGGCTGTGACATATGCTGTTTCAGTTTTCTCATTTGTAAAATGGGCTTGGTCACAGTACCTACATCATTGGGTTGTTGCGTGGACTGAGTGAGGTAATTCATATAAAAGTGTTAAAAATATTGCATGCATGAAACACAGCTGTTAGGGACACTTAGAATCCATCAGTGTCAAAATTAGCTTAAACCCAAATGTCATTGTGATCCAATTCCTGTGGGAATATGTTCTCATACAGAGAATACTTTTGCAAAAGATAAGCTTGATAATTCATATAGCTGACCAAAGGTACACTTGAAAGTGATGATAACATAAAATTTAATAAAACCCATCTAATCACCAATTAGGCTCACTGTGCTTCCAACCCTATTTAATAAGAAACCATTTCAGCCTTGGAAGTAAAAGAGGAAATAGATAATTAGTCACTTTGCGGTTTTTCAAAATCAAAAATTTCCACTCTTTCATTAACTTTCCTTTTAACAACTGATGACTTTATAACCATGCTATGAGCAATTTAAAAATAGCATGAGGATTAGAGCTGTTGACATTTTCATTAAAGAGATCTAGAACACATAAAGAAGTTTGGTGTTCAGACTTTCCATTTCTACTACTATCTACTGATAGGAAGAGAAATAAAAAACGTGAAATCTTTGTCAATAGAATGGCTATTAAATTTTAGACTGAGAATGAAGACTTTCTGTTCAACATTACGAGTTACTTAAACTTGTAGTAGGCACTCTGCTAAACACCAGAAGGCACAAACAGGATGGTTCTTGCTTAGTATCTACTTGGAAAGACCACCCCGTGGAAAGCAGACTGAAAAACTGTAGTGAGTGCGACAGAGAAATGGCACTAGGAGAGGTGGTAGGTAACAGGATATTCTGACTTCTGGCAAGCCAGGGAAAGCTTCCCTGAGAAAGTGCCATTGGGGGTGGGCTCTGAAGGAAGACTGAGAGCTAACTAGATGCTGGGGCAGGGGTTACGTAATATGTCCCCAGGATCAATATGCAAAGAATCCGTGGTGCTTGAGGCACCGGAAGAACTAAAGCAAGTTCAGTGTCATTGGAGCAGTGGGTGAGCATGTTCAAGGATAAAGCTGCAGAGGTGGGCATGGCCAGATTACACAAGGTCTCAGCCTACTACGTTAAGGTCTTTCTAAGGGTTTTAAGCAAAAGGAAAGATGATCAGAATCCTCTTCTGAAAGATTCTCTTCATCCAGGATGGAAAACTGTGTCTTTTCTATTGGGTTGTGAGAAAAGTCATGACGTATTTTTTCTATGATTTTCGTTGCAAAAATGCATCATGACTTTTCCGACAACCCAATCTATTGTCATAGGTAAAGAATGTATAAGTATCCACTTAACTAGAGTTCCGTGGGAAATTATTCAAGCTCTCTTAACCAGCTGGGTCACACAGAAGGGGACTACCACAACTTCAGAACACTTCAGATGCTTTCCAGTTCCCCCTGAAATAGCTATTGAATGCAGAGAGGTTTGAAAGCTTTCTCTAATCATCTGCAGTTGAATTGATGATTGCAGAGCTCCTGAAACTTCCACATGCAACTCGAGCATGTTTGTCAATCCTCGGTGTGCATAAGAATCACTAGAGTGCTTCCTCCAAATGCAGATAGCTGGGCTCTACCCCTAGGGATTCTGTTTCAGTAAGTCTAGGTGGAGCTCAGGCTCCATATTTGAAACAAACATCCCTTGCCGATACTGTTGTAGTGGATCCATGAAATAAAGTTTGAGAAACGCTGCTTCAGAGGTTCACGTCTTACACATTCACAACTGGTTTTCAAAATTGAGAAGTAAATTCTTTATCATGTTTGAAAGAGTCCTAGTTGCTGAGTGTAAAGTTAACTCTTTTTCAGGAGGCAGACAAGGAAGCTATAGCTAGGGAGGGAAGGTTCCCTATGCTTAATTCTGTTAGGGGAGGGGCGAGTAATGAAATCCCTGAGTTCCCTATGACGACACGCAAATACTCCACAGAGAGGATTAGCCTAGTGATAAAAAGTATATAGGCTTTGAAGCCTGACTGCCTGGGTTTGAATCCTGGACCTGCTATTTATAGCTGTGTGACTTTGGGCAAGTCACTTAACCTCTCAGCTTTCTTATCTGTCAGATGGTAATTATGGTAGTCCATATCTGAGAGGGTTCTTGTGAGGATTAAAGGAGCCAACACAAACATGCCTATAACAGTGCCTGGTACATAGTGGCGGTATATGTGTCAGGTGTCATGCTTTCCCACATAATCCTTCCTTCAAGGAGAGAAACCCATAGTCAAGGCCGTGCTGGTTTAGCCAAATGACATATAGGACAAGAAACCACCAAAAATTGAGTCTCCGTAGATCATGTGTGACTACAAAACCAACCATTTACTTTTCTTGAAGTGAAAAAGCAACATCATATTGATTTTCATTTTCTTATAGCAATTAAAGTAAGCTGCTCATTTAATAAACTATGATCCATAAAGTAGAATCCTAGGTACGACAATTTCTTAAAGCATTTTTCTGCTCCTTTAGAGAAGGGATGGTGTGGAAAATTAACTGTATAAGAGGACTGAAACCCTTCTACAGTTGCTTATTTGCACTGGACCAATTTAACCACGTGTTCCGTTTTGGAAAGGGAATATGGACACTTGCTTCTTTCCTGCCTAAAACTGGGTTTAAGAGGCATCTCATGTAGGACCTTGTTCTTCCCTCTTCCGTGGGGTTTGGATCCCCTCCCTGTTGCTCATCTGTAGAATGGGCAGAATGGTGAGAACTGCTTTTTATTAAAGACCACTGGAACCACCTGAACAAACACCACCGAGATTGGCAAAGAGTGTCCTCAATCTCTGTGCTCTGGGAAGAGGCTGATTTACCAGCATCCAATCAGCTGTGGAAATAGAAGTGCTGACAGGGGCATCCATCGTCGGGAGGCACGGTGGGCCAGGAGGCCGTGCAGAGGCAGCAGCAGCACTTGTCAGAGCCCAGAAGGGCCTGCTGGAGGAAGCAGCAGGCAGTCACTTACTGCTCATTAATATTATGTACTACAGCTGGGGGGCCCCCATTTCAAAGGGAGCTCAGAGCAGCCTCAGCAGTAGTTAATGGTTCAACAACTTTTAAACAGCTGGGGAGGTGATCCAGAAGCACTTGGAGATGGAGGGGGTAGTCAATTTCAAATCATCATGAAATTTCTTCGTGTTTAAATAATCCCCATAGCAGGAGTAGGCAGAGGGTTTATAAAAAGGCATTTTCATGCTCATCTCTTTCTTATACAAGCATTTTTTTAGAAGAAGGAAGCTTTGGCTTATGCCTACAGGGGTCTACAAGAAGACAAAGCAGCTGTTTGAGAAGAGATCATAATCCCACGCCTCTTTCCAGAGGGTACTTTTATTAGAAAATCCACAATTTTATAACTGGTACATTTGAGGTTGAAAAAATGGAAGATGCAAAAGGTAAAACTAGTGATCTTATTCATATGGGCTTCCAGGCCATGAAGGTACCCTCCAACCTGTTGCAAGAAGCCCAAAGTTGTTTGATCAAACTGGAAGAAACTTCAGAAGCACTGATAAAAACAGGGCACAAGTGAGGCTGACTACATCCATTTCACTTGTCCATTCACTTTTAAACTTTTATTTAGTAACTTGGTACTGTTATAACAGAAAGACAAACTTCTGTCTCTAGGTTAATGATACAGTTTTGTTATTGTTATGCTAGAAATGGACTTAGGAATTAAGAGGTTAGTAAACCTGTTGGCGTGCACCCGTCCCAGCTTAACCTATCACAATTCTCCCTGGGAAGGCTGGAGCCTTCCAGATCTGAGGGGGAGAGGAACCTGAAAGGAACAGGTGTGTCATCACATGGTGCAGCCATTCTTCTTGGCCAGGACATTCTCTTCCCCTAGCTAACCCAAGGTCTCCATTGCATTTTCATTCACACGACATAACTTTAAACTAATACCTAAGGACGAAGAGATGTGGTGGGGCCTCTTTATGAGCAGCAAGGGCTTTGAAAGCCTGACTTTTTAATAACAGAAAACACAAATAATGATAACATTATTATTATCTCTCCTTGAAGGAGTAATATTTTTTATAATAATAGACAAGAGCGAGCCCAGTGCGGGGTGGGGGGGTGGGCAGGTCATAACTTTCTGGCCAGCCGGGAACAGGAGAAAAGGCAGGAGTGACAGAGATTCTGAGCTTCCACAAAATAACTCCTCCACAAAGACTGCTCCACATCCTGGAAGAATTAGAAGGGGTTTCTCAGCAGAAAACTGGGTCTAAAAACACCCAGAAGGGTGGGTGGTGTAGCCCATGATTCCTGGAAAGGAATCATCTATAGCACATGGCAAGGCGCCAGCATTTGAAAACTGTTTTGAGAAGTGAATTGAAGGCATGGCACTCACTGAAGGGTTCTAGTTGTGGCAATATAAAAATGACTCTCCCTTCAGGCTCTGCCTATGGGGAGGTCAGTGGGCTTTGTGGTCTGAGTTATACGAGGACTTCTTCCTGCCTTCCCGGTGGATGTATGTATGTGTTTTTATGACGTTTGCTAGTTTTAAACTTCTCAGTACAGCTTTGGGCAAGAACATACCTCTAGGAGTGTTGCATATACAGAGGGTGCCAAAAAATGTATACATATTTTAAGAAAGGAAAAGACTGTATTAAAATTGTAATACTCAACATATACCCATAACAAAAAATGAATACAAGTCATGTGTATCCATTTTTTTGGCACCCCCGGTATTTGCAGTAGTGCTGGGAAATATAAATATGCTACTTAACAATGTTCTATGACTCTAATTACCCAGGAGACACAGCAGGAGGGGCTGGACTGGAGAAGACTGTGTCAAAGCAAGTTCCAGCTATGGTCCTGCTAGAGGCTACACTTAAGAAAGGGCTGGGAACATGCACCTGAGGGCAGGATGTGAGCAAGACCTGCAGACCCATGCTTTGCCCTTGGCCATGAGTGCACTGCCTCAGCCTAGCCACAGCTGGCCCCTTTTCTTTCACCCTTTGCCCCTCTGGGAAGGCAACAATTACAGCAGACTTAGTGACTTGTAATAAGGAAGCCCACAGGCCAGAGAACAGAATCCTCACAAGTCTTTATAGTTCAGACATTCCCTGCTTTATCTGCCACCTTTCCCCTCCCACATCAGTGGTCATGCTAATCTCAACTGAGTGGAGAAAGAGCACCACAGTTTCCTAAATCTGGAAGCAAACATCTCAAAGTGAGTCATCGCAGCACCTAAAGCTCGAGGAGATGGAGCCCTACTTGAATGCCTGATGGGATTGCTGACTCTGGATGCAGGCTTTACCAACACTGTGTACTTTGCAGCTTTGGGCTGGAATATCATCCTAGATTCAATTAACACAGTGCACAGAGTACCAACTTGAATCTATAAGACCTGGTGAAATCAGTCTGTTTCTTCACTTATTGTAATGGTAGAACATCTAAAGAGTCCTTAAAACTATCACACTGGAGTGAGCACTGGCGGGCAAATGAATATGTTAAGAAGAAACCTTTGTTTTTCTCATTTTGAGTCAAAGAATATTATGCTGAAGGGGCTTTAATGACCATCCAGTCCAACCTACTCATTTCCCAGACAAGAAAAGTAAAGCCCAGATAACAGATGGGCTGCCTCCCCTAGTCAGATGGGGTTTAAAAATATACATGTATATTATATATATATCTATTATTTTTTTCCATGAGCTTTAGTGAAAGTGACCAGTGTCATCTGGCTTCTCAAATTCAGAATCCAGCCAAATCTGTTATTCATAGCTCGAATATACCTTATACTTTCTTACCTCCGTATCATTTCCCCCATTACTTAGAATGCCACATTCCACCTCTTCAACACCTCCCCCGACTTCCATCTTTTGAATAGTTTTTATACATTGGTGATTAACTCATATCTACCATGTCTTGGATAAAAGTTTCTCTGCTGAAATAAAATTTCTTTTGTCTACAACTACACCAACAGCACTTACATACTACCTATTGTGAACTGTGCATTTTGCTTATTTTTGATCTCATTTAGTCCTCAAAATAACCACAGGAGGGCCGGCCGAGTGGCGTGTTGGTTAAGAGTTGGCTTGGGACGTCAGCTCTGAGCAGCAGGGTCCTGGTTCAGATCCCACGTGAGGGCCAGTGATGCTGCGCCCTCTACAGCTAAGATGGTGAACAACAGCTCAACCTGGAGCTGGGCTGCCGGGAGTCGCTGGCGGCAGCGTAGGCTGCAGTGGGGCTGGCCGGCAGTAGGCATGAGCTTTCATGAGCTGCTGTGAGTAGCCATCCAGAGGCTGGCGAGCAACTGCCTCACTGGGAAGAGCGCAATGATAATACCTACATGGGCCAGTGAAACGACGTTCTCCACAACTAGACTGAAGAACAAAAGGACAGCAACTTGTCTGTTCCCCTTCCCCGATTCCCCAATGCTGTTCCCCTCCCCCAATTCCCTAATAAAATCTTAAATAAAAACATAACCATAGGAGATGGATATTATCTTCAGTCACATTTTACAAATGCAGAAGCTGAGGCACAGAGAGGTTAAGTAACTTTTCCAGGGTATCTCAGTGAGGAAATGGTTCTGATGGTTTAATATAAATAAGTTACATATTATCATTATGCTAACAAGGAAAGGAAACTAGATTCTTTCATAGGGTTTTTGTTTTTTTTTCCCAAACAATCAAACTGATTAATATATAGGGATTGAGACCTTCTAGTTAATGGACACAGAATTCCTGAATTTTCTAACCTTCCCTTGGTCCAAGTTTGGACAAACGTATGAGGTGCTGCTACTTGACCTTCAATTTCAGAAGGTGAGCATGTGGGAAGTATGTTGGAGACTGCTCTTTCAGCACCAAGTCCAATGACTGTGTCTGAGCCCTGCACCTCTCACCTGATGTCTGCTACACCTGTTCAGGTCAAACTGGTCGGCAGCATAAATAGTCTTTCTATGTTACACAGAGGGCAGATCTATACTACCTCACCTACTGGGGATTTAACCTGAGCCCATGCTTTGAATACAACAGTTGGGTATGTGTACATTTTTCTAGAGATAGGTTTCATAAGGTTTGCCAGATTCCTCGAGGGGTCTGTAAGTAACATATATTAAGAATGGTCATCACTGTTTCAGACGAGCTCTGTGACTACAAAGGCAGAAGGGGCATTTCTTCAAAGATGAGAAGAACCTGTGATAGGGTAGAATAGTTTTCCTTGGATTTAAATACTCATAAAACATTTATTCCTTCTGAACAGTGTGGGTTTGATGACAAGGTGTCTCTTGACATCACCGGTGCCATTGTCCTTAAACTGTTCCAGCAGTCAGGAGCTCGAGAGACTTATCCACTCCTATCCCAGCACCGGACAGTTGATGAACCTGAGACTTAGACAAATGGAGTGATTTATCCAAAGCCACACAGTTCCGAGGTGGGATAAATGAGAGTCCAGCTCTCATTCTGTTTCATGGTTTTTCCATATTAGTTAAAATAGCACCCTATTAAAATGATGACTTACAAGGAAGGGTCCACACAAAAACCCAATATCCACACATGATCTGTGGAAACAATGCTTTGTCATCTGGCTCCAATGAATTTTATACAAGAAATTATCCCTTCTAATGCTTTCTCTAGTCCCCAGCTTTGCAACATTTTCTTTCTATAAGAAAATAACTGAATGGATGTTAACCAGACTTATTGTGGTGATCATTTTGCAATATATACAAATATTAAACCATAATGTTATACAGCTGAAACTAATATAATGTTTATGTCAATTATACTAAAAAGGAAACTTAAATAAAAAAATAACTGAATTGTGTACTTTCCCCACTAAAGGTGGAAGAAAGAGAATTAAGCTGACCTATAGTCAGCTTTTTTTCCCCTTGCCATTAAATATCTTTTATTCTTCAATTTCTCTGCTTCCTTTCTATCTCAAATGTCTCAGGTCATCAGCACCAGGATACCAGGAGGCAGAAAATTGTATAAGCATGAGAGTTTTACTCTCCTAGGATGGTAATGATCACAATGACACAGCGCATTAGAATGTATGCAGACTATAGATCTCATTTGAAACCTCAAAACACATCTATTTATACAGGAGTAAGAAACTATAATCTTCATTTTACAATTGATGAAAGCAGGGTTTTCTGACAAGCAGATGATCTCCCTAAGCACACTACAACTCCCTAAACAACTTTTGTCTAACTGGAAATTACCAAGCCCTTCAATATGGTAAATAATGGGGACCAAAGTTTTTGGGAGGTCCCAAATGCAGGAACCTCTCCCTACCCCCGACTCAACTCACACACATTAATTAACTAGATGTATTTATGTATATATGCTACAGAGTAATTATAGAGACAGATGCATATATTCAGAGATACTTTAAGATCTAAAATAATGCTAAATATCAATTATTAGAAAATTCCTTCTTTCCTTTTATTCAGTAAACAACTTTTCTCAGTACTCTTCTTAAACATCACGATTCTTAATTAAGCTGACTCAAGAAATAGGTGGCATGTTGCTTGCATTTTGCCCCTGAGATACTTCATCATTTTGAAAGAACACCAGGGCAAATCTTGAGTGAAGAGAGTAGAATTGGAGGGAAATTTACAAGGAATCAGTCTAACTTTCTACTCTGGATAGGACTATTATTTACAATATACCGAAGAGGAAACCAAGCAGTATCTATTAGAATATGATCAGTGACAGGGAGCTCACAACTTTACACGATGCTCTATCCCTCTGTTCAGCAAACCTCATCATTTCATAGTTCTTCCTTATTTTGAATAAAAAGCTACCTCTTCTTAACTTTTGCCCAGACGTGATTCCTAAAATGGCATAGAGTCTCCTCTTTTGTCACATATGAATTCTGAAGACTTGGCTCCTTACTTCAAGCTTTTTGTTTTTCAGTTCCTTTGACTTTTTTCCCTCTACCTGGGGTTCAGATCTGTTAACATCATCTTTCCCTAAGGACATCATTCTTTCCTCAATCTGTTATAATTTACCAGTCAGTCTTTTCAAATGTACACCTCAAAATTTATGCACTTTTGGTAACTTCTAGAAATTGTTGCTCTAAGAAATGCCCCTTGCTTCATACATCCAGCCCTCTTTTGCTGATTGTACTTTTTCAGTGACAGTGGGTCTGTGGTCTGAGGACCTACCTTTGCCAAGGTCTCATCATCCAGATGATTCTTCTGAATCACATGTTGAAGTGCAAAATAAATCTTTTCCTGAAGCTTCTGGACCTTCCTTGGTTCTATCAGCCAAGCTCGGTCTGATAAAGGAAAAGAATGGGTAAGAGGGGGAGGGAACATCAGCTTTGTTTTTATCTCACCTACAGATACAAGTGCTGAGTTTCAGAGTCATTTCAAATTAGTTCTAAATTGTGTCTGAAGACATGCAATTATTTAGAGAAAACATAAAGATTTTATAAACAATGCCATGGTGACAGGAATGCACAATACAGTGACATAGGAAATCAGAACGGAGGGAAGGACGTGATGATCAAATAAACTCCTACATGTTTATTATTGTCTGTGACAATTTATATGTCTTTTTCTGGATGTATGCTGAGATTTTCTTTCAAAGTGGAAGCTAGTGATTTATGAGAAAGAATTATAGAAGTGAAGAGACCCTAATGTACAGGAATTATGTGTGTTATTCAGGATCCCCCTTCCCTTTTGTGGGTTATGTTATCGTTTATAGAGCATGTACCTGAATCAAGTATAAACATTTAATCCTGAGTCATGTTTTTCTGTATTGAATTTTTAAATGGTTGATAGGATACGTCCTCCATTCCATCCTCCCTTCCTCCTTTCCTTTCTTTCTTCTGTCCTCTCTCTCTCTCTCTCTTCCTTCCCTCCTTCCCTCCCTCCCTCCTTCCTTCCTTTCTTTCTTCCTAGAAGCTTTATACACTATGGTGACAAAATTCAGCCCAGCATCTGTGCCTTAGGTTGGAGTTTCAATGAAGAGACACCTAGAGTCTCCAAATGCTGAACAAATACTCATGGAAAAGAACTTGGATATGATCCTTCTGAACACAGTTCAGGTCAGGTGAGAAACTTGATTCTGTAATACTAGACAGGGCGAGAACAAGTCTAGCCAACAGTTAAGCAAACCCTTACGTAAGTGAGCACAAAAGCCTTCAGTTGACAATTGTCAATCAGAATAAATTAAGTGTCCCTCCCTCTCGTTTCCCTAAACTATCTGGAGCTGAATAGACAGTGGTCATTATGGCAAGAACCTAGGGGAAGGGTGGGGTCTGGCATGAGATGGAGCCTACATAGCCTGGAAATCTATCTTCCCTCCCTTTTTAAATATGGCACCAGGCCAAGGTGACAAACAAGGTATTTGGAGTAGCTAAAGCCTCTGATTGTGGGTCTGCTACCCAGGCTGGAAGAGTCCCACTAGGTAAAGTAAGGCAAATTATCGTGCTTCCAAACTGAGCAGAATTTGATGGCCATAGCATGTTCTTTCTAGAAAAAGGCTCAGAGTTCAGTTGATTCCTAACTCATAAGGGACAAGGTTGCCTTCCTCCTGGGGCAGTTATCTTTAAGGATTGTTTAGGTTTGATATATCACGTATTACATATTTTCTGCTAGGAATTGACTGACTCACCACAAACATGCTTAAAGAGGACAGTGAATTTTGTAACGCTTCCTTTGAGTAAGCAGGAACCACAGTGAAATCACCTCCCTTGTCACAGACCCACAGGCTTAGAATTGGTATTCTATTGAACTGTAATCAATGGGAACAATCAAATGCAGTGAGAAAAATAGTAGGAGGAAAATTATTTGGCATTTGGTTGCTACCGGAAGTAAATATTTCTTGCACTTCTTCCATTTATGTTTGTGCTTCCAGGCATGGGAAACTTTCTAGGGTTAAAAAAAACAAAAAGCAAAAAAAAAGTACAGCTTGGGTATTTAGACAAAGCCACAAAAGAAACTGTTAGCAATAACACTCCAAATGATGACAAATTTCCATTTTTGATAAAGTAGTTAGTAAAAAAACAGAAGCAAATGAAAAAAAAAATCTTCGTAAGATTTAAAAATAAAGAAAGCCTAACTGATAAAAGGTGTAGAGGCTGGTATTATCGGTAGATATAACTAGAATGACATGTCAAAGTGTACCATTATGGGTAAGACTGATTTCTTCCAGCTCACTGAAAAATATGTTAGGGACTAAGAAGAGAGATCTAGTTTCTAGAGATAAATGGGTAATAGAAGGAATGAATCTCTTGACAGTAAAAATTAGCAGGAATGTGTCTCTTTTTCAGTGGAGAACTGTCAACAACCTTGACCCAAAATCTGACTGATCAGACAGCTAAGTGAGTGACTCTCAATTCTCATTGTGGTTGAAGAAGGAACCATGTATTTATTAGGATTCTGTTCATTTTCAAGCTGCCATGGATTAAAAAAAGAATTTCAATTGCTATACTTCTATTTGATCTATAAATGTCATACATTACCTTCTTTGAAAACTTTTTACTATTTTATTGCATTTGAAAGCTAGATAAGGTCTTTATTATTATGAAGCTCAACTCTCTAACTTTACAGATGAGAAAACTGAGGCTCTGAGGGGTCAAGTATTTAAGGTCACATAGGTAAATGGTGACTGACCCTGTACTAGAATATCTACCGCCACATCAGAGGGTCATCCTTTTGCAGCATTTGCATGAAGTGAGAGCACACTGACATTAATTTGGGTGGAAAAGCCAGTGAAAGAGATATTTAAAGAGGAGAAAGTAAATATTTTACTGATTTTGGTCCCCATGCTGGATCTTTCATTCAAGTATATTTCTATTAAGTCGCACCTTACTGGACATTTTTTTTCTATGTCCTTTATTTTATTTTTTCATAAACTCATTGGATTTATTTTTTCAACTCTTTTATTGATAAGGCATTATGTACAAAGCTTCAAAAGTATTTTCCCTTTAAAAACCATAAAGTATAATTTTTAAAAAATTTAAAAAAATTTCAGTTACAGTTGACATTCAATATGTTAAGTCCTTTATTTTTAAAATTAAAATAGAACTTAGTTATAACTCACGTTTTCATTTCATATCAGTTTTGATTTACCTATTAAGGAATAATTTTGCTTATCTAAATCTAGAGTGACTCTTACCACATGCTCTACTCTTGTTTTGGGGAAAAAATTGGTCATTTAAATTAACTTGAGGTTACTACTTTCCTTTGAATTGTCTAAAAACATCACAAACTTGCTAAAGAAAATATAGTTCTTTTAAAGTTTCTCTTGAGCACCTTGGCTGAGGTAGGTATAATCCATGTGAAAGACAGTAAAACAAGTTAAAAAAGACAAAACAAAAGGTAAAGACCTCAGACCTCCCTACCTGGAGATATCAGAACAGCAGATGAGAACAAAGCAATCTCCTCCTCAGTCAGCTGCAAGGAACACAAATTCTTTGCAAAGTCAAATGCTTCATTCACTAGGTCATCAGAACCTATAAAAGAAGGCAAATTAAATGAAAACACTTGAACAGAATGGGCAATAGTAAGAAAAGTCCCATAATCGGAAAGTTATTCAAGGTTATGCATACTAGGCATATAGAAAAAAAATATTTCCAAGTTTCTATTCATAAAAAGGGATTTAGTAGTAATTATAGAATGAGGAAACCAGGCAACACCTTGACCAGGTAATCAAAGTTAATATTACCAATGAGGGGCAGATGGAAATGGTGTGTGCCCATTGTAATATCCAACTGGAAATCTGATTTTGTAAGTTTGAAATTAGTTCCAACTAAAAAAAAAAATTAAATAAATGATTTGGGGATCCTTTACTATAGAGAGAGCATTCATGGAAAACCTAAAATACTAGGTACAAGGGGCCAAAGGCTATCAGTCTTTGTGGCACTTGAACCTGGTAATGTAGGGTCTCCAGGTGCCGCAAAATGAGTTGTTAAAAACTTTTAGAACAGAGATGAGGCATCTTTCAATTTGGTAACTTCTCTGGAAATTTGATTGAGGAGCAAGCATTCATTTATTTCTACCTTCTAAATGAATGATTTGTGGGTCAGTTGCTCAGCCATTGGGAATTTTGGCAAAATAATGCTTCATCCCTACACTGATCCTTGGTAAATGTTTATTTGATGAAGCTGGAAATATACCCAAGTTGCTTGCCAAGGCGTTTCCTTCTTTCTTGAAAATCTAGCCTTGGAGATGACAGGAATGTGTATCAACTGCAGAAGGGAAACACTGCCAGCCCCGATGGGCTTGCTGTTGGCTACCATATCAACTAACAGCACAAGAGGTGAAAGGCCAGTGCCTTCTTTGATGTCCATGGGCAGGATATGGAACAAATGGCACTGTCAATTGTTAAAACCTTTCCTGGCATCACCCCATCTTTGCTGACGTTCTTCTCGTTCATGCCATGCACTGATGACTGGATGTAAATGATATACAACACTTCCAGAGACTGACTCTGTCCATGCCCTCCCACAAGAATGGTATGGGAGATCATTTTGGGCAGGTTGACACCCACTTTATCTATGCTCTCAGACCTTCATTAATTAACAGTGAGAAAGTTACTTCTTGGAGTGAGAAACAAGTGAGGGAGCCTCCTTTTTAAAGTATCTTAACTAATGATTATGAATTTACATTAAAAATGTAAGAGGTCATCCCATGGACCACCAGTGATCTACATAATATATTGGGTAGTCGGAAAAGTCATGACATACTTTTTAAAATTTTTTTCGTTGCAAAAATGCATCATGACTTTTCTTACAACCCAATACTTTGTAAAGCAGTAAGCTAGAAGATAAAAGAAAAGCTGACCCTTTAAAAAATGACCTATAATGCATCCCAGCTCTTTTTGAAATAGTCTTCATTGATTTCCGAATGAGGCATGCACAGTCTCAACAGGGTCCATGGTCCTCTCCTTCCTTTCATATTTGGATGCACAATTATAAGATCTGAAGAGTTAGATGAAATATTGGTGGCTTGAATAGTGAAATGCTATTTCACGTTAAAGAACCAAGGCATTGGACCGGCGGAGTGGCTCAGTCGGTTAAGAGCTTGCTCAAGAGTGTGAACTCTGAGCCACAGCAGTTCGAGTCCTACCCGAGTTGAGCTGCCACTGAGCTGCCAACAGGTGGCAGGATGGCTCAGCTAAAATAAATGAAAAAATAAAAAAATAAAAGAACCAATGCATTTCATTTACCAATTTCAATCTGAGTGGAGAAACAGAAGGTAGCTAATAAAATTGTGTCATCATCAAAGGTAAACTTACCTAGGGCTTTGAACATTTGCATTCCTCCATATTTCCCTTCAAACAGAACAGTGTTGTTTAATGGATTGAAGGCACGGCACATTCTCACTAAAACCACTTCCAAGCAACCTACGTAAAAGAAAAAAAAAAAACTAAAGCAATGTATAATATATGCAGTAATAAAGAGGTTATATCTCCATGACCTAGAAAAGTCTCTGGCACATAGTAGGTGCTTAATATTTATTGAATGAATTAGTTTACTATCTTTGTTTTTCCCTCTGAACATTTATTGATATCCTGAGGAACAATTGATACACAATTTCTCCACATTTTGGTGAAATGGGCTTTTGCCCTATAGGGTTTTGGAAGGTGACAGCCAGACCCAGAAGCCACAAATTTGCATGAAGGCAACATACAGCTAATTTGACTACACTTGGTACCCATGGTGCCTTTCTTATGCTACCATTTTATATTCATCTCTGTGCTTTATTTCTTTTGTTCTGTTGATTTCTCTTTGGTTTCCCTCAGATGTCACCTATAATAGAATAGGGGCAAAGGGAGGGGATTTGCAAATATAATTGAAGCAATGCTTTCCCGGCAAAAACAATAGATGCCATTTATTGAGTATTTATACTGTGGAAGGCACTTTTCTTGGCCTCTTATTATTTTATTTGCTCCTTGCAATACTGTTTCATAGGTCAGGAGAATTTCAAAAACTTTAAAACATGCACACAGGTACATATAGACACACACATGCAGAAATCCCTCAAGATTCCTTCCCAAGTGAAAAATACCTGTTTTAGAAATAAAGCTCTCTTGGCACTTGGGTAAAGGAATAAAGATAAAATATACTTTAAAGGTGGTTAAAATGCAGGGCAGCCGTCCAGAAGCGGGCGACTGATCTGCCTCGCCTGGGAAGAACGCAATGATGGTGCCAACTTGGGCCAGTGAAGCAACGTCCTCCACAACTAGATTGAAGAACAAAATGACAGCAACTTGTCTGTTCCCCTTCCCCCAATTCCCCAATAAAAATCTTGAAAAAAGAAAATGCAGGGCAGCCCCTTTTTATGGATGAGTTAAGTACCCTGCCTTTTATACTAGAGTCAACACATTTTTACAGCAGAGATGTTAAAGATTATATGGTCCAATGATTCCCAAATATCAGCCCATGGACTGGTTATACATGAGACTTAATTCAAAATACAATGAACTGGGTTCTCTTCTGGGAGATTCAGATTCCATGGGCTTCAGATGATGCCTATGGCTCAGAACAGTCAGTAAGCTCCTCTGATGCTGCTGATGCAATTCCAAATTTGGAATTCATTATTTCTAGTCCATCTCTTTATTTTACAAATGAGGAAACTTCCATCTAGAGAGGTTAGTTCAAGGCCACCTATCAAGTGTGGTCGATTTTATTTTTCAAAGAAAGTCACAAAAATATCTTCCATTCCACATGCTTTTCTAGAACCTTACCACTCCCCCACCAAGAAGTAGAGTCACGTCTCCTACCCTTGAACCCAGGTGGGAGTTTGTGACTGCCTCCAGTAAAATAGTGTGGTGGGAGTAACGCTATGTAACTTCTGAAGTCAGAAAAATGCTATGCACTTCAGCCTTGTTCTCTTGGAATGCCAGCTTTTGAAACCTAGCAACTATGCTGTGAGAAAGTCCAAGCAGTCTGTGGAGAGGCTCACACAGAGAGGAACTGAGCCCTCCAACCAAGAGCCTTGGCTGAACTCTGGGCTATCAACTAGAACAAACTGCCAGACAGGTGATCCAATTTGACAACGGATCTTCCTGCCCCCAGACAAGTTGCCTTGGTGAACACCACATGGGGCAGAGACAAGCCATCCCTGCTGAGCCCTGCTCAAATTGCAGGTTATTTTTACCCAGCAGTAGATAACTGATACATCAAGTTAATGTTTGAGTCAAGATTTGCATCAACTTGTATCATTTGGTGAAGCAGCAGTAACTTAGAATAACTTAGACTTCTATGTGGCCTAAGTTCAAATGCCAGCTTTGCTGTATATTGGCTTTATGATATTGAACAGAGCCTTTCATCTCTCTGAATGTTTACTTCCTCCTCTATAAAAATGGAAATAATATAGATCTCACATGATTAAATGAAATGTCATAGGTAAACATAAACAATATATGTATGTTATTATATATATACGAGTATGTTATTACTATTGCTGTGGCCCAGGACCATGAAGGTTAACATATACACCATGGTGGTTGGCTCTTACCTTCTATTTTGAAACAGGGCCAAGAAAGACAACTAATTTTTTTTTCTATTTGGGTAGTAGCATCTGCTAAGTCAATCATGTGCTGAGTTTCTTGAGCTACTTCCTAAGTGATTCTGTGTATGTCAGAGAGTATGTGTGACAGAAGGGGGAGGGAAAGATGCAAGCACAGTGGAGTTTCGCCCAGTGTATTCTGGCTGCAGGCTATACTCATTAAAATGATTGGAAATGACCACAGAGGCAGAGCTCAGCTAGCCTGGATTTTTTTTCCCCCACAACAGAAGGCAAGTAGTACATTTTAGAGCCAGCTCAGCAATTCAGCCACCTTGACATGCTAATTACTTGCACTGCCTGTCAAGCTGGGTATCTCAACCTTCACAATTAATAGCTCTGCTTTCAATAAGCAAAATTGTATTTGACTTCAAAGGGGAACTGAATGAGTATCAGGGCATTTTTATTACTGAGAATTTCCTTTGGGACTTCGCTGACAGTGTGGGTGGTAAAAAGGAGCTACATATTGGAAGGAGGATTTCTAGAGTTAACCCTGAGCTAAGGGTCTACTGCATCCTGGTCTAAAATAGGCCCACTCCATGAACCTTCTCCTTGCTTACCTGACTTCAGAAGTAGAATCTGATCATTTTGACAGAGCTCCATGAAGCCTGTTATCCGCTTTGCAAACTCTACCACGTATTGGATGGCGTGAGTGATCTGGATGGCACATTGCTGCCATAGTGCTTCCCTGGACTTGAAGAGAGAAAAGATAGAATGTACGTGGAGCAAAGTACAACTTGGAGAGTCAATGCAATTCTCAGGGTTGCCCTATGGTGCTCACCTATCACTTGGGGCCCAAGGTGGGAACTTACCCAATTCCTTTAAAAGTGGCAAACAGTATTTTCTAAGATAGTGTTTTGACCTGTTTGAACCTTGGTACACTATAATTATCAACATACACAGGCTAAAATAATGGAAATATTGCAATAGCATGTAAAGATAGTTATTGATAGTTTCTTTACTCTTTTCCTCCTTTGCCTCAGCTAAATAAACTCAAGCTCTTAGTCTATTTTGTAAAAATAGATTTATGCACTGAGGAATAGCAATTTCATTCACAGGGTTTTATAAGGTTATTTTCATGGGTACCTGAAAGACACTAAACTTGTAATATTTTTATTCTGTGCTCTTTTTGGAAAACTTACAGAGATTGTTTTTTGGTATAAAATGAACTTCAAAAGAAAAGATATCAAATAAAATCTCTCTTTAAAGTAATATAGAATCCCAGAAATGTATTTTGATCTTTGGGTTATTTACTTTGGAATGGAAAATAAAAATCAAAGTGTGTTAATTCTGGTTTTTATTGACCATAACAATATCTATGCTTTTGTCTCCTTATTTATATAAAAATGGTAAGATTTAATTGTTTCAGTAAAGAAAATCAGTATGTTGTTATCATATATTTAGATACAAACACATTTATACATTTTATTAAAATTCCATTTATTGGTAGATCTTGTAATTGAGGATCTCAATTCCAAAGTAAAACAATGTAAATATAGAACAACAACAACAACAACAAATTCCTTCTATTAAAAATTTCTCTAATGGACACAAAAAGTAATCACAATAATAATAATAACAATATGGGGTGAGTTGTCCTTTTTTACTTGGGTCCTTTTTAAACATGTGGGCAAGAAAAAACATTTAGAATGCTTTGTCGCATATCTCTGTGTGTAAGTTTGTGACTGTGATTTCTCAATTGCTCCTGCTTCTTACCTGGCTCCAAGAAGCCACCATGAGATGTTCTAAAATCATTTGGTGTAGGCTTAGTCTCCCCCATCACTCAAGTAGGGCTGTGGTTTTCAACTGGGGTAGTTTTGCCACTCAGGAAACATGGAGACATTTTGATTTTCATTGTGTGTGAGGGGAGTGCTACTGGCATCTAGTGGGTGGAGACCAGAGATGTTGCTAAACATCCCACAATGCACAGGAGAGTCCCTACAGCAAAGAATTGTCCAGCTCAAAATGTCAATACTGCTGAGGTTGTGAAAGCCAGAAATAGAGAAGCCACAGTTTCTCTAATACTTTCCCATAGTTAGTTTCCCAGAGTACCTTGCTTTGATACGCTTTAATTTCTTCATAGGTGTGGGTCTGCCACGCCAGCTGGTGTAGCTCCTCCATGGTGTATTGACACGTCTCCAAGTGGGACTTAATGATGTTCTGTGCAATTCGATCTGTGAGAAAGAATATCAATTTGAGGGTTTGTGAATGGAATCCCACTTGCTCAAAGAAAACTGCTCTTAATGTGTTTATTATTGGAATGCCTTTTGGAGATTCTCCAATTGTATTAGTGTTTTTAACACTACTATCTATTTTTAAATCTCCAGACAAACTCTTTATTGCCTTTTTCAATTGTGAGTCTTTTAATCAAAATTTACTGCCTTTTCCTTTTCTTTTTGATTACAAAGCTGTGTCTTACAAGTTGGAATGTGTTCAAATAATTAGTTATTTAAAAAACAAATACATATTACGTGCCTCTTGCTTTTTTGCCTAAAATTCCACTAACAGTCTTGATATTTACACTCCAATACTTAAAAATATTTTAAAATCACTAGACCCCATTGTTTATCTCAGAAAGGGAAATTAAAACATAAATGTATTTGCTTATATTTTAAAAAAAGGGAGAATTAAGCAATAATCTAAAAAACAGTTTTCTATAGAGGAAGAAGAATACAATAGGGGGACAGGGATAGAAGCTAGACTTCTCTGATGATATTTTTGTAGATTTGACTTTGGAACCATGTAGATATCTTACATAATTAATAACAGGTGGGGGTATAGATAAAATAATATTGACTCATGAGTTGATAATTGTTGAAGTTGGACCATTATATTCTCCTTTCTAATTTTTTCTATGATGAAAAATTTAAAAAGAGTTACAAAAAGGGAAAATGATTATATTCATAAAAAAGTAGTAAAAAACACAATCAGACTTTTGGGGCCGTTTTCCCAAATGAGTTGTGTTTCGTATTGTATCTTAAATACCAATAGCTTGGGGTTTGGAGGTATAAAATTTGAGTGATAAAGCCAGACACAGGAGCTCTCCTTAAAAACCTGCTATAAATCCCTTGAAGTGTGACAGAACTGGCAAGAGGTCCCCTCATAATTCCATCTGCTACTGGAACACATGAAGAAGGTGACATCTTAGGAAACCAAACTGCAAAGGAATTCTGTATGTGGGGTATGAGTAGAATAGAGATAACCAAATTTTTGGTATGATAACTGTTCTTGGCTCATACAGAAATTGACTTTTTCTTGTGTTTCAGGTTGTGCCATTTTAAATTTAACTTCCTTTATGACATTCTTTTTTTTTCTAAATAGCCATATTTAATTCCTCCAGGATAATTCTCAAAGTAGTACTTAGGTAACTTCTTACCTTGCTAAGCTTCTGATGATATATATGGTGTGAAATAAATGGATTTTAGTGATGTAGAGAATAACAAACATAAGCTTATTAAGATTCTAATGAACTTTCCAAATAAAAAAAAATCTCATATAGCTTATTACCTGGCACATTATAAACATTAAATAAATTAATTATCATTATTAAGACATTCTATATTGTTTGTTATCAGGGAAGCAATGTGATGACTCCAATGGAAACAAAACAGAGATACTTTATAATATAATAGTTTTGGGATCAGTATTACTGAAAGAAGATATTTCAATATTTATTAGAATTTTTCAATTAGAACTATAAAGTGATTGATATAGAAGGTGCTGCAAATGCTAACTTATGATTATAGTTATGCTCTATTGGATTCAGCATTGAGCATATCTAGACTTTCATTGTTTATCATCTTATAAAATCCTTTCTTTAAAAAGCCTTATATTCAAAATTTTATTGAATATCCTCTTATGCTACCAAAAAAAAAAAAGGCAGGAATTAACTCTATATGTCACATGAACCATGCTATGCCACGGTTCATCATGTTTCAATTTTACTTGAGCAGCCTAATTACTTAGAATCTAAAACAGACATATCTATTCCTCATAGGTATATAATGAAAACATAGATTTTTATAGCTCATCATTTTCAGACCTTAATCTCCTTGGTGTAGTTTGTTTTCATCTTCAAAGATATGCTGATTTGTCAGTAATTTACAGGCTTCAAGGTTTATAAGCAAAACTACAATTGCTGCTCCAAATTGCATTATGAAAAACTCTATCTGTTCCTTTATGACATTTCCTGGGAACTGTTGGCCAAAGTTTTAGAATTCTCTGGCCTTCTGCCACCAAAGCTTAGGGTTCTGCGGGGTATGAGGAGGAGTGGGCGTAATAAACAGGTGGGCAGGTTAAGCAAAACTGGAAGTTAAATCCACAGGCATGCTTTAAGACTCCACTCACAAGTCCATTCCTGGTGAAGGTTTCCCTGTTTCCCTGTGTCCTCAGGTAGAAGGACCTAGCTATCATTACACTTTGAGTCTATCTCCAATTAAGCCCTTATTCCAGTCAGACTCACACTGTGGTTATTTGTATAGATTCTGTTGGTTCTATACCCTTCAAGGTTGTGAGCTCTTCAAGAACTAGACTGCAGAGCTCAGCATAGTGCCCTCATATATTCATTCAACAAATATTTTTGAGAAGTTATTATATACCAGGTTAAGGTACAGATTTTAAAAAAGACTTTTCAGGATCTAAAATCATATTGTATCATATCATATTATATCATATATCATACATCGTGATGCAATAAATTCCCTGAGTTATTGTGGGAGCCCAAAGAAGAAAGTGTCTAACTCAATCTGGAGGGAGCAGCAAAATAACCATGGAGTAGATGCCTGTTGACCTGGGTCTGAGCAGCAATTCTGTCACATGGAGAAGACAAAGATAAACCTCAGGTAGAGGGAATGAGATTACAAGGGCACAGACAGAAAAAACTAGCTATAGGCTTGATAATTTCTGACATAGTTTGTGTCATTACAATGCTTACCTTTTACAACATTTCTCTTTTACTGAGGAAAAAAATGAGGTTCAGAAAGAGCTAGTAACTCTAGACCCATTTTTATAGAGCTAGCAAATGGTATTTTGAAATTGAGTCTGTCTTTTCTGGAAAGAAGTCTGTAGTGTTTACAACATAGAGTGCATGGAAGAGATGAGGAGATATAAGACTGGAGATGGCAACTGTCTAAAGACCGAAGAGCTGAATGAGGAATTTGGATTTTATCTTGTAGATGATTGGGAGCTTGTGGAAGCTGTGAAACAAGAGAGTGACGCTGTCTTTTTTTTTTTTTTCTTAGAAGGTTGGTCCTGGCCATGGCAAAGAAGAAGAGATGGCATTAGAGAGTATGTGAGATTAATCAGGTTGTTGTGAAAAATCAGGCAAGATCTGAGGAGATTTTGGACTAGGTAAGAACAACAGAGAGGGAGCAGGGGGGCCTGGATTGAAGACAACTCTGAATGAGCATGCACAAGAACTGCAAATGAGGTGGAGGGAGAGAGAGAGAACATTAAATATAGTAGTGCTCAACCAATGCTGAGTTAATAAAAATAATGTTGAAAATGTCCATTCATTCCCCCATCTAACTGTTCACCCTTCCATCCATCCATCCATTCATCCATCCATCCATCCATCCATCCATCTATCCATCCATCCACCTATACATCCACCCATCCTTCCATTTTCTGCTTTATTTCACAAAGGATTTTAGAAAGCTTAGATTTACCCTTTAATAGATTTTAAAGCCTAAGCACTCACAATGGCTTTGAAGTCAAACATAGAACATGCATAACTATTTCCTATACTCTTGTAGTGAGAAATAAAAGGCAAATCTCTTTTGATGTAAGACTTATACATATCAATGAAAGCTAAGACACAGAGGCAACAGTTGCAGAGGCAGTCCCCACCCTCCACTTCCTTCAATGGGTCTGCAGTGCAAAGGTGAGCCACGTGCAAAAACCCGACTTGACCCTCTCAAAGTTCAGGTTGATAAACCACACAGTAAAGCTAGACTTGGTCCCATGGGAGCAAGGCCTGAGGGCTCTCATTCTGTTGATTAGAAAGATGCACGAACATCAGAGGAGATGGCTTGGTTGGACTCAGAGTCTGCAGTTGTGAAAAGCGGAGAAGGATTTAAAAAGAAGGGACAAAGGGAGAGAAATGAATACAGTATGCAAAGTTCCTGCTGGGAGCCAAAGGAACTTTCAAGAGTCCTTGCCTGGAAAAATAGAAAAGGTAATAGTAAACGCTATCATCTCCAGGGACCAACCACATGAGAAAGTCTAGACAAAGAGACTGAGGTAAAAGAGCAGAGGATATGGAATCTTTCTGGGCAATCGCACACCCTTCATCCGTTTCCCTGACTTGGATTGCAGCTGGCTCTCAGAGACCAGTTTTTGTCAGGTTTTTTAACTAGCTTGCACTGCAGAAGGCACATGTTGAAGAAAGAGTCGGCACGCACTGTGCTGGAATAATGGGTTCAACAGGAATATGGCCCAGATGACTGGCTAATGGGAAATTCTACCACCTTCAGAGGTGATGTCTACAAACCCCACAGTCTGCTCTTCCTAAGACCAGGAATGAGGCTAGAGATTTCTTAAGTGGAAAATAAAATGCAGCTACATCTTCTCAGTAGTTAAGATTCTGTATGTATGTTCAGTGAGACAGAGATTTGTCCAAATCACTGAGTATGTAGGCTGCTTTGATAGTTATTAAGACAATGTCAAGGAACGAGGAGAACAATTTTATATGCTCAGTCCAGTCATTCTTTTCAATCATGACGAGATAAAGTGTGAACATTGATGCTAGCCAGGGGAAACGGGGTGTGTAATTACAGGTTAATATTAGGCCCATGATACTTATTTTTTATTTGTTAATTTCATGAAAAATAGCTTGCTGTCACTTTATCTCTCTGTTTCTCTCCCTTCTCTTTCTCCATATGTACATATATATATATATATATATATATATATATATATATATATATATATATATATATATATATAAAACTTTAAAAATAAAATTGCTGTTTTGTTTTTAGACTTTGACCCAGATACTTTTCTTAAAGGAAGGCTTATTGGAAGCTAAGACTTAAAACCAATTAATAGAATTTGTCACTTTGTGTATTTACTAACTTCCTTTTTTAAAAAATTTATATGATGGCATTTTATTCATAAGAGAATATATTAGGTACATAGTACTTCACAATAAACTTTATCATCTTACAAAATATCT